GGGGGCATGGGTTTGGGTCCGCGGGCTTCACGACTACTGCCAGTGCTACTGCTGCTGCCGCTACTCCTACCGCTACTACTGCTACTACTACTACTACTACTACTACTACTACTACTAGTACTAGTACTAATACTACTAGTCCGGCTACGACTACTACTTCCACTGCTACTGCTACTGCTGCTGCTTCTGCTGCTGTTACTAGTGCTATTACTACTGCTACTGCTACTGCTACTGCTACTGCTACTGCTACTGCTACTGCTACTACTACTACTACTACTACTACTACTACTACTGCAATTAGCACCAATACAATAATACTACTGCAAAACTACAACAATACTGCTTCAGTACAGCTACAGTATCACTGCAGTACTACTACAATACTAGTGCGATACCACTACAATACTGCTGGGATGCTACTACAATGCTGCTACAATACTACGACAATGCTACTACACTGTGACAACGATACGACTACAATACGACTACAGTACGACGACGACGACGACTACCGCTACTGTCGCTGCCACTGCCCGTGCCACTTCTACTGCCACTGTCACTGCCACCTCAACTGCTACGGCCACCGCCGCTGCCTCTCTGCCACTGCTAATGCTACTGCGGCGGCTTCTACGGCTACTGCTGCTCCTGCTCCTGCTGCTACTCCTACTACTACTACTCCTACTACTCCTACTACTCCTACTACTCCTACTACTACTACTACTACTACTACTACTACTACTACTACCACGATTCCCTTTCCCACTCCAACTCACACTGCCACTGCCGCCGCTACGACAACTACCACGACCACTTGCCCGATCGCTACGGCTATCACCACTGCCGCTACGGCTACTGCTTCCGCTACCGCTACCCCTTCCACTTTATGACAACTATCGCAGCCGTTGCTGTTGCAGGTTCTGCGGCTGCAGCTGCTGGAGCTGTGGTGTTTGCTGTTACTACGACTTTTACGGTGAATAAAAACAGTAGCTTGTAACCAGCAGCAGCAGCAGCGGCGGGGGCGGCAGCAGCAGTAGCAGCAGCAGCAGCAGTAGCAGCAGCAGCAGCAGCAGCAGCAGCAGCAGAACTGTCGTGAACAGCACAGCGGACATCGCGGTTTTAGTACGAGCACGCATACGGTATGCAATTGTTGGACAGAAGATGAAGACAGATACCAGGGATGGCGATGATCGTAGTTGCCATATAGCTAGAAGTCTCTTGCCAGCTTCAAGAGCAGTAGGCATAACATGTTCAAAATCTCGACGAGCTGGCAAATACAATTAAGACAGGGGATATCTTGTGCCAGCATTGACAGACAAATTGGTGGTAGTGCGTTCGCTGGCATGGTCAGAGGATTGAGTTCTTGGAGCTTGACCCAGACCCTTAACACCTGCAACCCGCAGGCCGCTGCATGTAGCAGTGGCTTTGAAAATGACGGGATGTTCCAGAGCTCTCGTAACTCACCGAGGCTGCTATACCCTACGGAGTACGGGAACATCTACCCTGAGGCAGCTGGCATCGGGACACGGTTCCCGGCTAGGAATTTCTAGATTTCAGGGACTGAACGCGACTGGTCGCCGAATGCCCAAGCTTCCCAACGTCGACTCAGTGCCAGGAGCTGTTCGGCAGTGCACCTTCCGGGCTGACTTTGCGTCTCCTCGCTGCGTCCTACGACTGTGACATGCTCGCGGAGGTGGTGTTGCTCTTGAGAGCCTTCGACGGGCTTTAGGGGGCTAGCCATGTCGGGATTCAACTGGTATTAACAGGTATCAGCTAGTAGGGGCCGCTCGGCAACTTGCGGTTATGAACGTGTGCAGGCGTCTAGCTATGCCTCGCCGACAGCTTCTTTTCTGCAAATTGAGTTCGATTCGCCACGTTCGTGCTTAGTAGCACTCGCGGATTCGACCCACCTGGTTGGTGATGGTTTGTGGCGCTCCGAAGGTTGTGGACAAGGCGGTGGACTCCGGCAACAACGCTGCTTGTCTCGGTTTTTTAGGGCTTTTCGCTGGCAGGCTGCACCCCAGCGCCAAGTGCGTTTGCTGCGAGAAAACCAGCCATGTCTTCTGAAACGACAGCGTGAATGTCCATAGACACGGCCCCAAAACAGCACCTTTAAAGCCTCTGCCAACGCTTGCACAACGGAGGCCTGGGCCGCCTTGGCTTTGGCGCACTTCGCGTCTGTGACAGGGCAAGGCTGCTACGGCACTGCCGCTAATGATATTCTCGAGGCAAGGCTGGGTATACTCTGGGGATGGCGGGGTGCAAACAGAGTTCCCCCGCCTTTGGCCAAAAGAGTATTTCTGTGTGTCTGTGCACATGTCGCAGGCCATCTCTGCGGCAGGTGCTCTGGCGAAGGATCTGGATGGCTTCTTTCGTTCAGGGTGCTGGATAGTAGTTTGAGGCAGTTTGAGGCCTGGAAGTGCTAAGGCACCTGCCATGATGACTTCGGCGGATTCTTGGCGCGCTTGCCTCCCACGCGGGTTCATCAACGTGCCACCGAGCACCAGATCGACATCTTTGCTTTAGCAGGCACTGGTTTCGAGTCAACCGGAGTCTGATGGACCATTGTGCTCGGAAGCCCTGGCAGCTTCGTTGTTCCAGGCATGCTCGGGAACGCCGAGCTTCAAGAGCGAGCATCGCGGTTCATTCAGAAGATGCACGGGCGGCACGAGGCCTCAGCCTGGTGAAAACCAAGACTTCTTCAACTTCAACCTCTAGACTCATGCCAGCTCATGCCCAAGGCCCAAGGTTGTCCAAGCAGTTTGCATGACCTGCAGCAGGCCTACCCGGATGCATATGCGCTGGGCACCGGCGCGCAAGTGAGGTGCGACACTGGCAGGCCAGCCAATGTTTTGCGAACGCTTTCAGCTTTGGGTCTGAAGCCTCGAGTTTAGAGCTCAGAACTTGTGGAATTACAGGTATGTCTGTGACCTTCCATGACACGGCTTCTTTGATTGGTGGGGTTTGCAGTGTCGTGTGTGTCATGCTGCACGAACCCTTCGTCTCATCCAGTCGCCAGTCTCCGGATGACGAGGCCACCTTCCCAGAACTGACCTGCGTCAGGTCACACTACGACCTGGTGTGGCGGCCTCGGGCATGCCTCGAGCGCATCGCAGCGAAGCGGCTCCAACCGCTTTCGGTATCCAGCTGGCACCTAATGGCAGCCAAGACCGATTCACCGAGGCCAACCGATGCGCAGTTCTGGAGCTTCCTTGCGGAGGCAGATCCGAATCACGACGCTCGGCGCATGGTTTGAGCTTATACTCTGCCACCCTCGGCCTCGAGACCTGCAGTCGGCCTAGCTCCAACCCAGGGTGCGGTGGGGAGCGCCATTAGCTTTTCCATTTACAGCGAACCTTGGCGGCGATTGCTCGTGCTTTCACGGTCATCCTTGGTCGAGCTGAGAGACATTCGGGAAGACCTCGAGCCGCTGGTGAGCTCTGCAGGACTGGCTCTGGGACACAGACGTTGACAAGCTATCCGGCAAGGAACCGCCAGCTCACTTGCCGCTTGGCTACCTGGATGATCGTTGATAGAAACACCGGGCTTTTCCACAACCTTAACAGTGACAGAGTAGTTACTAGCACTAACAAGAGCAAGAGCACTAGCAATAGCAGCAGCAACAGCAAGAGCAATGCTACAACAACAACAACAACAACAACTACTTCTTCTACTACTTCTACTACTACTACTACTACTACTACTACTGCTACTACTACTACTACTACTACTACTACTGCGACTACTGCGACTACTGCGACTACTGCGACTACTACGACTACTACTACTACTGCTACTGCTACTAAACACACTTTAAACCCCTTTGGAAGGCATGGGACGAAATTCACCTCCAAGGCCCGGTCCGCAGGGTTTAGGGAGTCGGAGTCTGCTGGGAGTCTCGTCGTCCCTTAGGAATATGAATACTAATACTAGTAGTAATATACTAGTACTACTGGTGGTTTTAGTATTAGTATTCATGTTAGTATTAAGACCAGTACTAGTTCCGCCTCGCTGCAGGGCTTCGGGATCCAGTGGGAGGAGACAGCCGGGGCAGCGATTCTCTGACGGCATTGCAATACCGATAGAGTTGAGAGATAGGGAGGGCCGTTCCGGGTCCACACGCTGAGCGCAGATGGGTTAGGATGGCCCTGGCACATTTCCTCCACCGACATTCCGATGGCAGTGATGCAGATTTCATTCTGCAGCCGGGGACACGGATGCAGGGCATGTGTGGCATTGTCTGCTTGCGCAGCTTTCTTGGCACCTGATTCTGTCAAACCACCAAGGCTGAAGTATCGGCTAACCGCCAGCCGGCTGTCGCTCCGCACACTGCTGCAGACCTATGGCGCAGTTCCGGCTTCCGCCCTTTGCTTGGAGCGACACAAGTGATCCATGCTCAGCTGCCTGCAGTTTTTCTGCATCAGAGTCTGCGATCTCGGCCTAGGTGCGTGGTGGAAACGGTCAGCAGTACACTCTGTGGCATGGCTTCATCCACCCTTCCGCATCCCTGTTTGAGCATTGTGATGAAGCGGGGCAAAACGCATTACGTTTGAAGCAGCATGTGAGGCACGATTCCTACGGTCCATTTCCTGGCGGATCAGACACTGGCATGGGCTTCTCGTACCTGCGGAGTCCTGGTGGCATTTTTTGATTTTGTTGTGCCGCGGGTCTAAAGACCTAAAGGCCTCGTCTGACCGGGACTGTCCAATTGCTGGTTGCAGGATGATCCACACTGCCAGCACCGCTTGGACGGGGCTCCTCATGCTTTACCAGACCACAGAGGAGGACCCTGTCTTTGAGCAGCTTGGCAAACAGAGACAGTCTTAATGTTTGAGGCGGAGGGCCGTGCAGACGAAGATTCCGGACTGAGTGGCCCATGTGCAAAATGTACGCCTGTGTGCAGGGCAGCCAACCCCATGCTGATTTCGGCGAATGCTGTCCTGGTCTCAGCGAGGGAGCCGGAAAGGTGATGAGTCGCATCCTTGAAGCTCCTTTTGCTCAGGCAGTTCCCCTCGGTGGAACCGACTGCCTTCCGCTGCAGGCTGTCGCCGGAAGCAGACCTTAAACCTTGTCCGGGACCAGAAAAACACAGTCCTGTCATGCAGAGGAGCCACCGGCCGCGGCAATCTCCACACGAGAGTGCGTGCTGCGGGCTTCCTAACTTGCCCCACATTTGGTCCCGAAGTGTTCTCCGACTTCTTTGACGTGGCCATGCTTTGAAGGCTTTACAGAGACAGGGCCTAGGCTGAGAATGCCTCGTCATTTAGGTTTCCCGGCATGAGAGCGTGCATGTCGGGGTGAATTCGTTTAACGGGCAGCCCGAGCCCACCATGTCGCACCGGCTCTCGGACTCACATGATGCCGCTTAGTCTCCAGCTTAGTCGCAGAAATGGGGGCTTTATTCTCGTACCCTGCTTGATCGCTTACAGCTTCCGTTCGGGCGCGAGGCCGTGCCGTTTCCCAACCCTGCCAACTCCCTGTCGAAGCCAGTGTAAACCCGCCGGCCGACTGGAGATCTTGTCATGCGCAGTACTAAGTAATGCAAAAGCGGCCACTCATCCGAAGGTCCGGGTGGCCGCTACTTGCTACCACGCTTGCACAAAGCTTGCAGCCATTTGGGAAGAAAGTCGGGCACACGGGTTGACCAGTGTCTAAGCAAGGCAGAGTGTATGTGTCTATGTACGTATGGTTTGTGCACATGTGTGTCTGTACACTCGTGAAAATGAACAAGTATTTGCATAGATGCATCAACAGGCACAAAGTTTAATGTAAGTATAGTTCTTATAGAACCAATGGGTCAATACAGCGAAGACGCCCTTGTGCCGTGTACAACACTCGAGACTGCAAGCTGTATCGATTTGCCGAGCTGCATCTGTTGAGGTTGGGTCAATGTAGATGTAGAAATAGGCCCCATTTGATGTCATGCCGGCTGGGTCCTTGTACCATTGCTCATTAGCACTGATGTCGCGAATGTTTGAACAACTGCTCCTTGTTTGCGTTTTGTCGGCCTTCAAGTGTTGTTATTCTTGATACTGCTCTTCCTCTTGCTTTTCTTTTCTATGTCGTCTTGGCCGATACTACACGTTCCTTCGAGCATGCAAACCAAGAATTGACCTGCAGTCGCGCAGGATTTTGGGGTTCTCAAGAAGGGTTCTTTACTCAAATAAATGTGTAGCTATACACAGGCGATTAAACATCAAGTACATACATATCTAGTTTAGAACTAGACAGATAGGTACTTACGCACACATATGCATGCGTGCATACAGGTGACATGCAGACATACGGATGCGCATATATACATGCATACACACACAAATACAATTAGTATACACGTACCTATGTATATATGTCAGTAACATCTACACTGAACCTGCACACACATACACGTGAACGTAACGTATATATATATATATATACATATGTATATCTATATTCACCTGTGTCTGTACCATGTACATGTGTATGCAAGAGCGTATGTATAGGCATATGTATGTGTATCTACCCATCTCTCTCCCATCGGATGCATCATGCATGCATGTACAGATGTGTGTAAAGGCACGTGACTATCTCTTCCTCTACTTCACTCAGCATGTTCTCGTCCTTTGCATGCAAGCATGCATGCGTACATGCATTGGTACATGTATGCATGGATACTCACATCAACTTTTATTGCTGGGTCACTGTGCGATGGGCGCCACCCTGGCTTCTAAAGCCCCGTGTTGTAGCTGTCTAGGAGAGTATCATTCATGCATACCTGACATGCATGCCTGCATGTCTGCTGCATGCACAAACGCAATTACATTCTTATGCAAGTGCAAGCCTTCAGAAGTTTCACATTCCAACGTGTAATCGGGTTTTTTCACGATTGTCCTGTGGCTTCGCGATATTCTGTCTTCCTCATGGCGCCACAAGTTCACGTATGCCGAAAGTTTTGGCTTCAAAATCAACGTTGGCCGAGCTCTTAAGCTGTTGGCACTTTTGGCTTTGGCCAGGCTCAAGGTCTCCAGCTGAACATTGCTCGGCAAGACGGTGCCGCTCGGAGCCCGGCAGTGGTGCTGTCGTGTTGGTGGTGCCGCGAGGCAGGCAACAGCAAGAGGGCAGAAGGAGGAGAAGTAGGAGCACGAGAGGAGTAGGAAGAGTAACTAGTGATACTAGGACTAGGAAGTGCTGTGCGAGGTGGAGGAGAAGGAGGAATCCATCAGGCAACAGTAGTAGCTGCGGCCGCATCAGTACAAGTAGCAGAACTCTAGTGGCTGTGGCAGCAACCGACTCTCATCCGCGGGGGTGTGGCAGTACCAGTAGCAGCGCATCCACCAGTAGTAGCATGGGTAGCGCGGAGTAATAGTAACAGAACGTAACAGACCCACGGCGGTCATCGACGCGGTGCGATGAGCATCGCAGAGTTGATAAATATCATCGCTACAAGAACAGGTAAGCCGAAACACTATAAGATCAGCTGCAGCGCCTTTGTCAAGGTGCTTGCAGCCTGCCAGATCTCGCTTGAGGTCCAGAAGCTGGAATGGGTACGTCCAGGAAGCTAAAGGTTATTATACGGGTACTATAGGGACGTCACTATGATAAGGTTACTTCTGCCAGGTTAGTATAAAGTCACCAGAATGTTGTGAAACGTAGTCATCTTTTTCTGGTGTTGCCAGGGAGATGGCAGCTGCCAAATCTTGAAAAGCGGCAGTGAGAGCCCCTTCGCCACGCTGGAGTGGGAGGCGCTTCAGGCCCGGATGCGGAATGTCCAAGAGCTTTCGAGGTCAGATTCCTTTCCTTTTATCGCGTTGCCTCGATTTTAGGAAGCAGTCTGCAAGCCTTCAGAATGGGGGACTTTAGACATCGTCGTTTTGTTGTCGGATTGTGTTTGGCAGCGGCCTACATGCACGATCAGACCTCAGCTTCAGCGGACGTGGAAGAGTCTGCTGAAAACTAGCCGTCCAAGAAGGACCACATGAACTTCAGAAGGAACACAGCATGTCCCCGACGACAGTAGTTAGGCTAAGCAGATTGGCCGTCTGCCATGGCATATGTCATGATTGCATGATGTTACAAGCCTTTGACTTGCGCAAGCGGACTATCCAGAAGCACTGATACTTGAGCCTCGCTTGGTTTTTGCAGGTGTGCCCGGCGAGGCATTCACCACGGTACATGGGATAACAACACAAAGCCATTACATCAAGAGCAAGAGCGGCATGATCAGGGCCGGGGTGCAGCATGTGTACCGGGAAGAAGGAGCTCTCCCCTGCCTGCTGTGGACCGGTGCAGGACCCTGTTAGGCTTAGCATTTTGTTGACTTTGTAGTCTTCTCTTGGTCCTCCAAACTGCCATCTGCCCGGTCCCACGACAGCAAGCTGTTAAGGCGAAGGTGACTTAGCCCACAACTCCTGCGCAGGCGCGAGGCTGGTTCCGATGGAAGTCCGTGCCAGCCTCGATCCGAAGTGGGTCGCCACACCCTTTAACTGACTTTAGCTTCCGAAGCCCCTCTGCTGCGTCTGTGAGTTGGAGCCCAGTCAGAGGCGGGCTTGGGCGGCTTCGTGCTGCGCAGCCGGCTGGGGGTCCTGCTGCAGGCGGTGGCACCTCTGACCGGGCGGCACCAGCACTTCCTTTGTTCCCTTTTGCGCTGCAGGTGACAGGAGGGCTGGAGGGCCGGCAGCTCAGATTCTTTGGAGCCTGAACCGACTGCAGTCGGAGAAGAGGAGGGGGGCCGAAGACTGCAGCGCATCAGGCCTGGATGGGCGGCTGTATGTGCAGGATGCACGGAAGCGATCCGTGGCAGAAGCGACACTTTGCAGGTGCCCTTTTGAATTTGGCACACGTAAGTGCGAGAGCGGCAAGAAACCCTTGACAGGGGAGGTGGGAGCCTGCCAGACACCCTTCACGTCCAGGCTCGCACAAGATGCCTTGAGTGGCTGTCAGGGTGAAGAAAACTAGGCACACAGCAAGTTGGGGTGCAGGGCTTGAAAGGTTACACAAGTTGAAGCTTCGAGCAAAGAGCCACGAAGTCTTTTCCGAAGAGGTGCAGTACTCTAAGACTGTGAAGAGTCGGGAAGGCGTCCTTTCACTGTGGTAGTCGTGACTGCACCCTGCAATGCCGAAGGACAACTTCCTATCCGAAAGTGCAGACCACACCCTTGCCAGGTGGTCAGCCCTGGGGCGACAGACCTGGGCCTTGTTTTGGCAGTTTTGCTTGCAGTGGACCGCCTGCAGGCCTGCAAGAGTTGTTTGGAGCCGTCCGTAGCGTGCACAGATCACGATGGGTGAAGCTGCTGCAGGCCATGATGTAGATGATGAGTGGATGTTGTAGGTCTACTAGTCGTTGTCGTCCCTGTGTTCCTGCGCCTCCGTAGCTGGCAGCATCTGGCAGCAGAAAAGGGCATGGGAGGAGAAGCAGGAGAAGGAAGTAGCAGCAGGATGTTGTTGTTGTTGCTGTTGCTGTGGCAGAGCCGGAGGGGAGGAGTGGCAGCAGTGGCAGTAGTAGCAGAAGTTGCAGAAGTAGAGGCAGTCGTCGTCGTCGTCGTCGTCGTAATCGTGGTCGTGGTGGTGATGGTGGTGGTGATAGTGGTAGTGGTACTGGTAGTGGCAGCGAAATCGTAACAGTGGTAGTAGTAGTCGTCGTAGTAGTCGTAGTAGTCGCAGTCGTTGTAGTAGCGGCAGTGATGGTGAGGGTGGTGGTGGCGGTGGTGGCGCTGGTGGTGGTCGTGATCGTGGTCGTGGTAGTGATTGTGGTGGTGGGAATGTTTTTGGTTCTTGTTGCTCGAACATGATGACGATGAGTTGACGATGACTACTGTGACACGGACATTGATAGTAATGTCGTGATGTTGATGGTAGTGACGGTAATGCCGCTGACATGTTGTCGCTTGCAGGCAGGCCTTGGTCCGGAGTGTGCATGCCAAGCTAAATTACAATCCGAAGTTCTGAGACGATGCCATTCTTGGACTTGAGATCTACACTAACACGGTTTTGCAAACCATCAGCATTATGACGGCAGCTCGTTGCAGTCTTCTACAGTTGGGATTGGGCATGCTATAGTCGTGATTGTTGTCATGTTTGCTGCTTTGTCTATAATGAGTCTGGGCGGCGCAAGCTAGTGCCTCGAGCAAGAGGTAGGCAGGAACAGACAGGCTGAGGAGAAGGGATGAGAGGAAGGGGGGGACACGTGCATCCGAGCAAGCGTCTGTAGTGCAATCAACCAAGTCCTGCCAGGCATCCAGCAGTTCACAATGAGATGGCTTTCACGCTTAAATGAGCCACGCCCTGAATCCCAAGATTTTCCCACTCAAGCAGCGCGCTGGTTGTAGTCTTAAGGATGGCAGGTCGGGCAACCATTGAGGCGTTGTCATTTAGTGATATATATATATATATATATATACACTAGTGAAGTGATTCGTTCCGTGATAATGTAGTGTTAAGTTCGTGATGTGTGAGGGAAACTGTGATATGTCTGCGTCTATGTTGTGAGAACCTGTGGATAGTGTTCACTTAGTGGCGACTTGTTCAGTTGTTTACATTTTTAGCCACCATTTGCCCTAGTTTGTCGCACTTTTCCAAGACTGCTGTTGTGGAGCATACTCGAAGGAAGACCTAGCAAAACGCAGCACATAAACAGAAATCCTAACCTCGCCAATGTACACTCGCCAGGCTCGGAAACATCATGAAGAAGGAACATCAGAGGCACCCGAATAACTAACGTCTCGCAAGCTCGAGCCACTGACAAATGGCTAAGCGCAGTTCGTAGGAAGCCCAACGCTTGCCTACCACTCCCATCCTTCTTCGTAGTCGTGATGACTGAGCTTTGCTCGACTCAGCAGCGGTGACATTGACATGTTCGTGATTCTTATGAGGAAAAGTGCCAAGTTGCTTGCCTTGGACGCAGAAGTCTGCTTCTGCTCCCAAGTCTGTAGCTGCCGGATGGAATTTCTCGGTTTGAAGGCTTGACCTGGCGTCCCAAAGCAGCCTGAGGCAATGCAACTTGCGAATAAAGTCATGATCGCCGCAGCTGTTGGCGCAAGCTTGGCACGACGGTGGTCTTCGTATTCGGCAGCGGCCGTGCACTTCCCGCGATGGCTCGACATGCGAAGAGCCGAGAGGGTGTACGAAGTGTTGATGCTTGAGGCTCTCGATCTCACGGTCGCAGCTCAGCTCAGGTCTCGTACTACGCAGCTCCCAGAGCCGTGCCTTGGTCTGAGGTGGGGCGATTCTTGTGATGATTCGTTCGGCTCCTCGGCGAGGTGCCCGTGGTGACCATGCCGGCGAGGCAGTGCCTGCCTTGGCTCAGGGCCCTATCTTGCGGAGTGCCTGCTTTGGGAGACGTTTCGGTCCTGTTCGAGGGGGTTGTGCAAGGATCTCCGTGATGCCACGCGCCGCCGTGCCGCCCACACTGGCCGGCTACCCGGCCTACCTGGCCTGCTTTGAGCGTTTGCATCCAGCTGGCATGTTTTGCCAGCGGAATCTTGAATCCTGTCAACAGGGCTTCGGATGCAATTTTCCGGCCAAGGTTGTGCGGACCGTAGTGTGCAATCGTGCAGGCAGTGCGGCATGCAGTGTGACGATTTGCTGCCCACGCTAAAAGCACCATGGGGCTGAGAAGCGAACTCTGAGGCCAATGTGCCCTTGGTACGACCGGTGCCGGCTGCTACCAGGCTGGCAGATCACCCGACAAGGTTAAGTGCTTCGGCAAGCTCCTGGCGCAAGCTCGAAGCTGTCATTTGTTCCGAAGCACATGCACCTTTGCCGGCACAGAGCTAAGTTTGGAAAGCCCTTATAGCCACATTCCTTGAAAGTTGCAGCAGGCCCTACATCCCTTGCCCGCCGAGAGAGGACTGCGCAATGCCGGTCGAAGGGATCCTTTCGTTTGCATTTTTTTCTTTCGATATGCTTCCGGACCTTGTCTGTGAGGAGCACGTGCATGGCTCCGTGGCCAGGACCTGAGAAGCTCTTGCCAGTGGAGTTTGCATGAGTGAGAACATGCTCGTCGTCCTCAGCTGGGCTGACGTGTTGTCTGCGATGTCAAGGTGCAGACTACGACGAAGACCGTCGTGTCTGCACCCAGGCCTGGCTCGATCTCCATGCTCGATGATCACCTTATCCACGTACATAGCCGTGCAGTTGCTGAAAAGAACGATGCTCGCATCTCCGAAGCAGAAACCAGGTCACCACATCCCTCGTTGATGTTGTGCCCCAGTGCTTTTTTGTCGCAGCCTGATCAGAACGAGAATTCGACTCGCGAGCACTTCGTCAGCGATGCAAAACACGGACGCACGGGGGGCAGACAACGACGGGGATATCTGGCCACGCGGAGGAAGCTGCAGGTGAGTGGCAATAGACACCAACTTCAACAGGATTGGAGTGAGCTTCCCGGTTCCTCTCTCCAACCTCTCCGCTCTTTCGGGCGTCTTCCGTAGCGGATGCAGCTCAAGCGACTTGCTGCCCAAAGCCATCACGGACAGAACCGACCCGTGCACAGGCCTTCGGCTCCCACCGGTTTGCTGGGGCCCAACATGGAGGTTCCCCTGAACAAGGCCGGGGCCATCTGGCAGCATCTGTTTCAATTCTCGATGTCGCCTGTTGCCCGCATGCGTTGGTGAAATATCTCGTGGTCGCCTTCTTGCCTCTTGGTCTTTGATCAGGGGGTGGAGAGGCTCACTCCACAGGAGGCACGACGCGAGCGCCACTCTTTGAGACTTCCGTTGAGCTTGCAGCGTGTCGCATGTCGGGGGATCTTGACTCCAGGTGCACCAGCTCCTCCGTGCCGGGCTGCCTGCCTCTCAGAACTGGGCCACAAGCCCGTGGCGAAGTTAGCAAAGGCCTCGCAAATTCGAGAATGACTTTGAAGAAAGCACCCGAGGTGCGTGGTGGTGGACGTGCGATCCGCAGACCGGGCCTCCGGCCACATCCAGGTGTTTCGGTGAAAGTCGCGAATTTTTGTTTCGCTTGTTCGCTTTCCGGCGTGCAGCGGGTTCCGTTTGGGTGTCCTGTCTCTCCATCGCTGCAGGGGGCGGTGCACGAGCCAACCAGTTTCGAGCAGCCCCTTTTGAATCGGGCGGGGCCGCCAAGAGAGGGAGTGGATGCTTTAGACGGACACCTCATAGGGAGCACTTGTGATTGAGCGTATCTGTTGAGTTTGATGTTTGCGAGGTGCCGGAGCTGGCGAAGAGATTCTCAGAGGCAAAGCTGGTCGCCGGCAGCTCAGGGTGCTGATCGTCGCTTATGGTGCCAACGGAAGCGAGCAGCGCGAGTCTACTGAGATTTTTCACTGCCAGTATTCCATGCATCGTGGCCCGCAGCGGGATGCCAAGTCTGCTTATGGGTTGGACTTGAGCCTTCGAGTTTTGTGGGACTGCTACTGCAGCTTTCGACGGACGTGCTTGTCAAATGTCTAGGCATGTGAGGTTTCTGTAAGCAGACCGTTCACACTTGAGCGCTGCAGAAGTGAGTTTCAGGATAGCCGATTTTAGAAAATTCGACAGGTGTGCGAACTGGTATCGCGAGCAGGCGCCGGCCGCGCAGCTGGGGCCTCGGTCTCCAGACGACGTCTGCAGTTCCTATCCCTCAGATTGTCAAGCAGGGCTCTTACATTCCTACCCAATGCCAGGAGCGGCTTGCATCAGATGTTCCACACCAGCGCCCTGTAGGTGTCCATCACTTAAGCAGGTGTGCGCAAGACGTGCAGTCGCGCGCGTGTCTGGCGGCTTCCCGCGAGTTTGTCCTGCAAAATTGACACAGTAGATGGTCTATTGCCGCTGCATGCCAACAACCATTTTGTGGCAGAGATTTGACCTTTTGTACCGAAAGTACTGGCTTCCGGCCTGACACCGGTCGTGCTGATGTCAGCAGAGCCATAGAAAAGCTGGCGGAATCTTGTATTTGGCTCCGCATCGGACAGTGTCCGTGGGTGTTGTTGGATTGTGCCACCGTGTCCCTTGCTTTCGCACACAAACCGAGACTGTATGGTTGCGAATAGAAGGATGCGCTTGCCTTTGGCAACATCGAATCATCGCCTTTTGTCTTCGGAGTCCTGAAATCTGATGCGAGCGGCTGCTCACGGGAAGGCGAGTGGCCGTGCTGGAGGGAGGCTTCCGTGGCTGGGAACGCCAGCGATTGCCGGCAGGGAGCCTCAGCCTTCGTGAAGGGAAGGATGCAGTGCTGCTTCAGGGAGTGTGTGCACGTGGCATGTTGCAGCCGCCCAGTCTTTTTCGTTCTCTGTTGGTCCGATCTTGTCGCTCTGTTCCGCATAAGCGGACCTGTGTTTGCTGGCCGACTGCAGGTCGTCTACGAGCAATCCATGGATGCCCATGGGCAGGCAGAGTGCACCAAACAGTCGCTGTTGTTACCTTGCGCCAGCACGCAGATTAGGGCTTGAGGATGTTGAAGGTGGAGAGGAAAGTGCATTGCTGCGGTGCGATATGCTTTAGTACTTCGGAGCGCCAGGCGAAGGCTGACAAATATGCTCTCTCAATGGGCAGGCGAGTGGCAGGCAGGGCTTTGTTTCGGTCGAATTGAACGGAACGGCCTTTGATGGGTTCGCTGTGCTTCGAAGGTGCTGGAGCGTGAGGCCGCAGCATGGGTTTTATTGGATGCTTCGTCGGCCGGTCAGTGGTGCGCAGTGTTGGCCGCAGCTGGCGGCGGAGATGTGGCAACGCAAAGCGGACATGAATTTTGTAAGCAGAAAAGAGTAGACTCGACGGAGAAATGCCGCGGCTGCAGAGCCCGGCGAATCACGCTGGGCATTGCCAGTCGAGTAGTCAGTCCATCTAGGCTGCGGCACGATTGGGTGTTTGAATACTTGCCTTCCGCTTTAGCTTCGGGCAATTTTTCTCTCGCAGCCAGAGCCCATAGCAGCAGTTCAGACGTGTCAAGTGTGACATGCGATGTAGTTTTTACATTGGCGGTGTCAAGCAGCATACCCAAGGAGGAACTTGCTGGGGCGGGCTGTTTAGTTGCTACTGCCGGTGAATAACGCCGGGTTGTCTGAATGCCGCGAACCCGCTGTGTTGGCCAAGGAGCCGAAAAGTTTGGTTCTGACGGGCGGTTGGTACTTAGCACAAGCTTGCACACCCACTAACTACGATGTAAAACGGCACGAGGTCGCGTCTTGAGTTTCGATATACCGTGTCAATATCGATTCAACGCAGTATGGAAAAGTGTGTAAGTTGTGCTGGTCTTCTCCCAATATTTTGTTTCGCTTCGCCAGAGATCGTTGATTCCGTCGATAAGAGGCCGGTAGATGATCGTGGATCGTGCTTTCTCTCGGAGCTTATGCCCAGTGAACACACCCACTTCATGCCATCCGCTGCTTTTCTTAAGTGAAGCATTTGCCATAGTGGCTCCGATACCCTCGATTTGCATAGCTGGGGAGCCCTGTGACCGGAAGCGTTTTGCCTAAGCCGAGTGCTGCTGTGCACTTCACAACACGCATTCCGCGCGATCCGTAGAACTCCCGTGCATCGACGTTGGCGCGAACAGATCTGGGCGCCCCGCACGTCCACATCGAACAGCGGGAAAGCTGTGCGAACTGCAGCATGCAGCATTACATAGCGGCAACTCCCTGTAGCAGACACTTCCCGCGATGGCTTGCAACGCGAAGGGCCCAGATCGGCTCATATTGCACAGAGTGTTAAAACGCTAAGATACCTGATGTCCGTGCAAAATATGAGCTAAGGTCTCGTACTACTACGCGCCCACGGCTCCGAGGGGCGTGCCTTGATTCGGATTCAGGACGGTCTCGGTCTCTTTTGGCCTCTTCTCCGTATGAGGCGCCAGCCATGGCCATGCCGGTGAGGCAGCGCCCTTGGGCCAGGGATGGCCAGGGCAGAAATCTCGCGGAGTGGACCTTTGGAAGTCCTCTGTGGAGCAAGGACCTACATCAGGCCGCGCTGTGCTTCCATTGACACCAGTGAACTGTCCGGCCCGCCTGGCTGGCTTGTAGGCTGCTGCTTGCAGCGTTTGCCGTGTATCCTGGTCAGTCCTTCTGCCCCAATTTGCCGGTCAAGGCAGTGCATACCCCAGCCCAGAACGTGTGCAAGTGTACTGGCATTATGGCGCTGCTGTTGTGCGGACACGCAGCGTCACGGAGTCACAGTTAGCGGTCCGCGATACTGCATAGAGCTGAGCCCGGATTAGAAATCTCGCGGAGTGGACCTTTGGGAGATGTCGCAGTTGCGGGTGAGGGTTGAGCGAGGATCTATGTCATGCCACTCGAGTCGCGTGGCATGACGTAGATCCTCGCTCAACCCGCACCCGTACCTGTGGTACCACCGACACCAATGAGCTACCCGACCCACCAGGCTGGCTCTGAGCTGCTGGATTGTCCTTTGGGCTTGTTTTGATAGCATTTCTGATGTTCCCGGCGAAGAACGCTGGGCTCTCTGCTGAATGCGAGCATCCTCGACGAGCCTGCTGCGCTTGCCAGGGAGCCGAAAAGAGTGGTTCTGACGGGCGGTTGGCCCAGTCTCTGATGGTATTTAGCCCACAAGCTTGCACGCCCTCTACCTACGA